GGATTTTACTGGATAAATTTTTACTTGTAAGAATTTGCCAGTACGAACAACAGCTGATCGCGTGTTGCTGGATGAAATTTAAACTAATAAGGAAACTGTTTGTGGATTTTTATTGTTAAAATTCACAAACTAAACCTATTTAAATATAAAATATATTGTTTTATTAGGAAATTCCTGCGAATAAACAACCAATTTATCAGCTGTTCATGAAACTTGCAAATTATTACTGGAATAGCGTTCGCTTACTTTTTTTTAATTTTGTCTATGAGAGCGAATTCTTAGAAATAAAGTTTCTGGAGAGCTGCTCGCAAGTTACTGGATAATTTTTAAACAAACACAACTATTGATTCACGTTGATGGTGCATATACGGAACATGTGAGTTATGAGATTATTTTGTGAGTAACGATTCGGTACTTCGAGTCATAGCCCGAACACAATGAAATTATTATTATTATTATTTTAACACGTACTCTTATGTAGATAATTATTTTGGAAACAACCGGCCTAAGCGACGACTGTGGATGTGGCCAGATTAGCTCTATTTCTATTTTTCCAGCGACAGATAAGGGCCCTAACTCTGTAGTTCGATTCGAAAGAAAATGTGTTCGCTTTCGAACGATTGGTACTCTGAAAGCACCTTTCGAGTAACATTCGTTCGATGTTTGAATTCCATTCTCTTCCCTTCGAATTTTATTTATCCCCTTTCGAATTTTCGGAAATTTGGTACTCCCTGTTATAATTTTTTTATGTAGATATGGGCACATTATAAAAGCAATATTAAGGCGAAATTACGAAGGAATAAGGAGAGCCTGTCGGGAACAGGAGGTGGGCCATCGAGATTCAGTTCCTTAACTACGACGGAAGAACAAGTGGTGAAACAATGCGCTTTGGTGCTACTACCTTCAGCGACCCTGCATCATCTAGCCCACTTGATTGTATAAACTTAGATCCTGAAGAATATCCTAGTAATGATGCAGAGAATCAGCCACCAATTGCTATCCCCACTACGCCACCGATTGTTATTGCACCACCGAATCGCGCACGCTCACGACCTCTCGGCAAAAACAATTTGCTAAAACTGCAAGTGTAAAACCAATGCCAATATCACGAAACAGTAGCGTAGCCAGGGGGGGATATGGGGGGATTGATCCCTCCCCCCCCCTTCGTCATTGAACTACAATTATTTACTTTTGAATTAATAACACAATACTACTTTATACTTCTGATTAAAATTTTTTTTTATTTCAGACGGATGAAAAATTATCTTTTAATGAATATATGAGTAGTCCTCTTGCTAACAGTGTTATGTGATTTTATAAAAGTAAACCATAAATTAAAAAAACAACGTCTACGACAACAAGTAACATCCGAACTGTATCTTTTTTATTACCTGAAAATTTGGATAAATAAGAGCCTAATACCATTAAAAAAATAAAATTGCAGTATGGTACATTTGCAAATTTTATATTTATAAATTTAATGTTGCAAGTTTTGAAACAGTAACTTTAACATACCTAGCTTTTTTAGCTTTTCGCGTTCTCTCCTCTAG